GCACGATGTTGCAATTGCCTGCATCCAGGAGACGAAGCTATCAGCGGCCTCCCGCCCTCCCTCTTTCCCTGGATACGCGCTGGAGCATAGGGACCGTCCCGGTGACCACGGTGGCGGTCTCCTAATCCTGATACGTCACATCCCGTACACCGGGCGTGATATTTTTCCCCTCCTGCGTGGCGACGCCACCATGGAGGCCATAGCCATCTCCACTCCGCTCAATGGCTCCCCTCTCTATATCATTAATATATACATCCCACTAGCCACCTCCTGCCCCCCGGGATATTCCCCGGACCTCTCTGACATTGTCACCATCCCGGACGAATGTCTGATAGTGGGCGACCTCAACGCCCATCACCCCTCCTGGTTCTCCCACACCGAGGACCAGAGAGTAGCAACGAGAGGGATCACCATCGACGATTTCATCTCTAGCTCCCCCTAAGCTTTCCTCAACGAGGATTAGCCGACCCGCCTCCCCTCTCACGGCCCGCCCTCCTCACCTGACATCGCCATCATCACCGGGAAGCTACTACTCAGCACCTCATGGGCCCCTCAAGTCGCCCTAAATTCCGATCATTTGCCCATCCTGCTTTATCTACCCCCCGCCGTGGAGTCCCCGGCTCCCCTTTCTGCCCGCTCTTATACTAACTAGAAAAAAGCGGACTGGCCCGCCTTCACGGAAGTAGTTGAAGCAGCGCTCGAGGCAGTCCCTCCCCCCACCTCGTGCGGAGGTGAGTCGATCCTCAGGGGCGTCCTGGCGGCTGCTGCAAAGCAGCATATCCCTGCGGGCTTTAGAAAGGAGTATTCCCCCGCTGTCAGCCCTGGCACCCGGTTGCTCATGGAGCAACGGGATGACATCAGGGCGCACAACCCTAACGACCCCCGGCTCCCCGATCTCAACCTAGAAATCTCCATTTCGATACAAGGCTATGCAAGAAATACATGGCGGACACATCTCGCCTCGTGCAACAGGCGAACTCACCAGTTAAAACACTGGAACCTTCTCCGCTCACTATCCGGAAAGCTTAGCCGCCCTCCACCCAACCAGCCAATCCAATTTGGTCAGACCCCCCTTTCGCCGCAGCGCAAGATCTCCACCGCCTTCTGCAAACTATTCACCTCCATCGCTCCGCACTCCCAAAACCCATCCACCCGCCGCCTTATGCGTCGAATTTGGGCTGAGCACCCCCGGGAAAGGGACTTCGCCCCTTTCACCCCCAACATGGTGAAACTCGCTATCAGAGCCGCTAACAATTCTTCCGCTCGGGGTCCGGATGGCCTCACGGTCCTCCACCTCAAACACCTAGGCGCACGTGGCCTCCAGTTCCTCACCCACATCTTTAATTTCTCTGTCTCCACGGCCTCCGTTCCATCTATATGGAAAAACTCAATAATTATCCCGTTACTAAAACCAGGCAAACCTGGTAACCAGGGATCCTCATACCGCCCCATCTCCCTCCTTTGTCCAGCGGTCAAGATCCTGGAACGCCTTCTACTCCCATACATCTCTGATTCTCTCGTCACGGTTTCTTCGCAACATGGCTTTAAACCAGGACACTCGACAGTCACCGCCCTCCTCCCGCTCGCGCACCAGATTGCGACGGGTTTCAATTCACGCCGTCCCCCAGCACGTACAGTGGCAGCTGCGGTCGACCTATCGAAAGCTTTCGATAGTGTCGACCACCCTCTCCTCCTTAGCATGATCGCGGCCTCAGACCTACATCATAATCTGGTCCGCTGGCTGTGCTGTTACCTTAGAGGCAGGATGGCTTCCTGCATCTATCTGAGAACAAGGTCCCCCTTCAGAACAATCCATTCTGGAGTTCCCCAAGGGTCGGTCATCTCACCAGCCCTATTCAACTACTTCATCTCGGACATACCTGTTCCGACCCCTAACATCGCCTCATATGCAGATGACCTCACTATTTTTGTGTCGCCCCCAGGCTCGACGCCGCGAAGGCTGACCTCTCTGAGTTTCTCCGGGGCGTCTCAGACTGGTCGACCGCCAAGAAACTGGCCGTGGCTCCTGGGAAATCCTCAGTCACGCTCTTCACCCTCAACACTCACCAATCCCGTCTACACCCCTCTGCAACAATCTGCAATGGCATCATCCCCTTGGACAAAACCCCTAGGGGTCACCTGGGATACCCATTTTACGTTCTCTCCTCATGTTAGAGCCATAGCCGCCAAAGCAACAGGCTCTTTACGCATCTTAAAAGCCCTGGCCGGCACCAACTGGGGCTTCTCAAAGGAAGATATCATTGCCACATACCGGACAATTACTCGCTCAATCCTCAATTATGCTGCCCCCATTTGGTACCCAGTCGCCTCACGCACCGCAACTGCAAGTCTCCAAATCATCCAAAACTCAACCCTGAGACTAGCCACCGGCTGCCTCAAGATGGCCCCAATCACCCATCTCCACCATGAGACCGGCGTCCTCCCCCTGTCAGCCCACCTGGACCTGGCCTGTGCTCAATTTCTCGCCAGGGCCCTCCAGCCTACCCATACTTCTTTCAACATCGTCTCCGCTCCCCCCGGAGACCGCCCCATGAAAGCGCCAATCAAGACGAGGTTCAGCCACCGTGTGGCGCCTTTCCTGGCTGACGGCATTATGCCCGACGGTGCCTATGGAGAGGCAAAACGCTCCCTCCGCAGGGAGATAGCCACCCGTGTTGCGGCGACTGCCGTTAACAACGCTGTCCTCACAACCCCACCACCACCTATTGCAGCAGAAGAGGCCTCGCTCCCTCGCCCTTGCCGCTAAGCGCTATCCCAGCTACGCTCGGGATACTGCAGCTCCCTTGCGTCCTACACCCACAGGGTCGGACGCTCCCTTAGCGCCGCTTGCACGGAATGCGGGGATTCCCTACAATCCGTCCAGCACCTCTTTGCCTGCCCCGCCTTCCCAACGTCCCTCAGCGTCGCATCATTGTGGGACAACCCCGTGGAGGCATCGGCGTTCCTGGCCACCCTCCCTGCTTTCGCCCATCTTCCCCCTCTTCCGGTGCCACCACCACCAGAGCCTCCGCCCACGCGAGCGTGACGTTTGGCGCAAGGAACAACAACAAGGAAAATTTGCATCAAGTAGATGCAGGATCTATTTAACACAGGGTTACAAAATTTTTTTTTCAAATTTCCCAACCCACCCAGGGTTGTATTAAAATGACTTTATTAAAAAAAGTCTGGGCGGGCGAATTGGGTATTATGGGTTTTATTACTTTTTTCACTTCTTTCTATCATTCATACTTATCTTCAAATTCTATAATTTATGTTGATTATTAAAAATATGATGCCTGGGTGTATCAACTTCTATTATTGCATTTGGCATAACTTTTAATCCAATAACTATCAATTTTTCAACCAGTGTGTTAATTGATGATGCATATTTAACTTGATGTATCACTATTAATAAAGCAGAGACACATCTCTCTCAGAGACTATAAAATATGCATTGAAACAATCAACCCAGGTCCTGGCTGTTTTCTTGGTTCTCAAAACTCAAATAATGCAAGCTAGTAAAAAACTTTTTTGGTTTCTTCCTCATATATTTATTAAAAAATTAGACTATATTCTTTGGAATTTGTACCAAATCTTTAGGCTTCTACTATTGCAAGTGCACAAAAAGTAACGGGATTTTATCATTAGTTGTTTTCCTAATTTTAACTAGGAAGTTAAATTCTGCAGAAAAAATTCACATGTTCTTAAAAAACATAGTATTCTAAAAAATAAAAAATTACCTCTTTCAAAAAATTCTCTCTCATTATGTTTTCAAAAAATACATACCAATAGGGTTTGATCTTCTTTTTTCATTACCAGCCTTTCTTTTATCTTGGTCTTTTAAGATTTGAGTACTGTTAAGGAGCCAAATATCAAGAGGCTAAATGACATAACAGACAAAGTCAATGTACTTTGGTCCCCTTCTTCCACAGTCACATGGCTTGCATTAATGACTAATTTTTCTATCAACTTGTTCAACATACTTTTGTGTTGGTTACCACAAAAATAATATCAATCATGATGTAAAAGTCTTGAAAAGCAAAGTGTATGACTATGTAAATATCATTGTAGAAATAATTTTTTATGCCTAATGTAGGTTTTATATATTTCATACTGTGAAACTAAAGTATGTGAAATTAATCAAAATCTAAATTTAAATTGATATTAAACTTACAGTTTAGATAAAGCTAACATAAAATTGTTACAAAAAACTCTGTGAGGTTTATTTTTCTCTCAATGGTGTGACATAAATTCCTAAATAAGCAGCTACAAATTAGACAAAATTACAAAAATTGTGGAATGGACTTTGATATTAAGGTGATATCTGGTGGTCACTTATTTAATTTCATGTCATTGTGATAGGCATTGAATGACTGTAAAGTAAGTTATTTTGTTAAGGGACTGAGTAATATTTGGTAACTTTAAAAATGGTGGGTATGTTTGGGACTCGAATCGATGTGAGTTTTTTAGAGGCTGGCACTATCCATATATGTGATGACTGAATTTGTTCAAGAAAGCTTGACCCATTAATGCCGAGCAGTTCCATTTGAATCAAATCAGCATAGTAAATGGATTCATAATAAAATTGTATGACCAAATAATATACAAGTGGATGCGTACATATGTTAGATACACATCTTGTACATGTTCTGGCAATGTTTGGTTCTGTTGCGCTGACTATACTCCCTGTTCAGTTAACATTAAAAGATTATAAGAACCAGGTGTCAGACAAGACGGCTTGACATCATAGCAGAGAAAAGGGAGTAATTAGCTTTAAAAATATATTATTTATATGTTAGATGCACAATTTTATTGATAAAGCAAGTACTTTTAATGCAGTGATATAATGTTTATAAAGTCATTTAGATCATGAAATATTTTGCCCGGTTCAAATGAAACCAAGCTATAATTTTTCACGTAATAACAAAAAATAAATATTTGAACATATTTTTCATTTATAACATCACAAGTGATAATATTTTTACAGGTAACCCCAAAAAATAAAAAATAATTATTGTCATTAATGGGTTAATAGATACATTCTGAAATTCAAACATGGGATCATTTTGATGTATTGTTAGTTTTTTTTTGTAAAACCCTTTTTATTCCGGGGTTTTCACGTTAAAAAACCCAACCCATGTGGGTAGGTGGCAGCTACCTGGTTAGGTACCAAGTGCAACTCTGATTTAACAACTCTTACCTGTTCTTGCCTGCCCAGTTGATTCCAATGTTAAGTTTAAAGGTAACATAGATTATGTTCTGAAATACATTGATAGTGTCAAACACGCCATGCTCCAGAATGTACATAGCGCTCTTGTGGTACGATGCCTGGACAGCAACAACCAGCAGATCATACGGCCTAGGTAACAGAAATAGAACCAGATGTGGAAAATCGAATCTACCATCGATTTTCTAATGAATTCTAATATCTGATAGATGGAGAATTTATTTCATTCGTATGTGGATTTATTTCTTGCTAATCCAAATACTTGAGTATAGAGTAATTCAAAATATTCACATAAGCTGGCTTTGTTAGATCTTATGCAGCTATAGTACTCACTTACCTATAACTCTTAAGGCGAGGCAATATGTACGGCAATATGGTCTCTAACTGGGCATCTGTTACACTTCTATTAGTTATCCAAACTTCGAGGTGAGGGCAGCGACATCCTCTACTCAAAAGGTTCCTCAGTATTTCGATATTATCCTGAAAGTACGAAAATATTCCAGATAAAATGCTTAAGCTCAACTAAGCTGACAACAAAGTTGACATTGTTTCCTTAGCATCTGAATTAAAATAACGGATACAAATCTAAGACAAAACAATTTTAAGAAGATCCTGACAATGAAATAAATAACGGCAATTAATTAAGAAATTGATATAGAAGTAATGATCGTTCAGTTTTGTGAAAGGTCAAACACAAACGGGGAAGTAAGTAGCAACTTCACATAACAAAATCTACAACACAGAATGAAACATTATTCACACACATATGAGTGCACTACAATTTTTATAATAATCATGTACAGTTTATTGTGCAGCCGCAGATTGAGACATATATATTTCAGTGAATCAAAAGCTGCACGCACCCGAGCAAAGAATGTGGCTGGAAGATTATTGTGCTCAAAATCCTTGGCTGTGGCGTCCGCCCCTGCGTCCAGCATTAGCTCAGTTCCTCGCCACCAGCGTCTCTCCAGGGCTGCAAAATTGGCATCTAATAATGTGGTGATTTCACTGTAGAGCGCAAAGTTCTGCTCTAATTCTTATTTGTCCTAAAAAGGGCACAAGCCAAGCATAATTGAATGATTTTTCAAAAAATTTTCAAGTGCTGTTCAAGCAATAGAAATAAGTTGCGTCTTAAGATGAGACTCATCTGCCTAATTTTGTTCTCATTAATCAGACCATTAGACAACACCGTGCTAAAATCATCATTTCTCATATAGATTAAATATAATATATAATAAAACTCCTTAAATACATTCCTAAATAAAGCTGGAGCAATTATTAAGGTGACATACCGCACAACAAGGGCAGGGAAAATGGATCTTTTTCAGGCAGGTTGGGATTTGCCCCAGCTTGTAGAAGGCTCGCCAATATTTCTTCCTGGACAAATAAAAATTTAGTGGAGTGAATTTAAGATGAAGTATCAGGACAGAACGATAAGAAACAACTGTTCATATACAGAAAAATAGAATTCAGCAGCTCCAGAGAAAAATTAGGAGTCAACAAATATAAGCAGTTTTAGACAAAGTTTTGGATATCAAAGATATGCTGTAGTGACCTGACTAGTACCTTACAAGTGTGAATATTTTTATTCAGACTGTACCAAAACATAAAGTTATTATAAAAATTCAGCAAATTTTTAATTCATATAATCACGAACATGCACATGAAAATCCTCTCCAGAGTTTGGTCTGTAACATGTTTATTTGTAGGCAGGCTGCATTTAAAGCATATGAAACATTTCAAGACCCATCCTAGTCACCTCCAGGTCTGCGGTTGAGCAGTTTCTACAGAGAAGCAGCAGAGCAGTGGATCGATCATGACTCTCTATGTTTATGCATCTTTTATCTGCAATGAACATTAAACGATAATGACTCCAACAACGAAAGAAAAAATTATTCATCAATATCTACATCAAAATCCAATGGGCAGTGAATAGAAACATTAGAATTTATAAGAATTGCTTAACTAATAAGGAGTGGAACAGTAACAGAACTAATTCCACCTTATGACCTTACCTTATGACCTTATGATGAGTTTAGGACGTCGTAGTCCAAGGTCACGCTGATGCGCCGCCTTCGTCGTCCTCCGTCTCTGAGTCGTCGTCGGATGTAACGTTGGACGTGTTCCGTCTATTTGCCCTCATTTGGGCCAGCTGATGCAAGAATCCACCTTAACAGGCTTCCTCCTACCCCTAACAGCCTCAGCTTTCTAAAGAGCACCCCATGGTCAACTTTGTCAAATGCTTTAGCAAAGTCTAGGTATACCACGTCCACGCCAGCTCCCTCCTCCAGCTGGGCCACCAGACGGTGATGGTGTTCCAGTAACTGCATTAAGTTACTGGAACACCAGTGTTCCAGTAACTGCCACCTCTACAGGGGGCAGTTTTATCCTGCTAATATTTAATGCATTTGTTGATACCCCACACATACATAAATCTCCAACCCAAGGACATTGAAAGGAAGTGCAAGGAACTGCCATCTGCAAACAATTTGCCCTCTTCATATGTAACTTGCACTCGGTTGAGAAAGCACTAAGCCACTACTAAGAGCTGAGTGTTGGCATGGTCAGGAACAATGTTACTAGAATAAAAAACCTGATGGGCATTCCAAGGAGCTTAAGTTTGCTGCAGAATATCGCCCAGAAGGTTTAGAACAAAAGTCTAAAAAAGAACAGCTGCAAAATAGCAACAACAAGCAAATGGCAATGCAAGTCCCAATTAGAAAGTTAAATTTAAATTGACAAGTTTAATTTTTAGTAAATTGGACTTGAAATAATTAACTTGGATATTTTTCTCCCAAAGAGTATCACTGAAAGTCCAAAGAGTATCATAATGAAAAATCCAATATGTGATACTAGCAGCTTTAATATTACTGGAATAGAATTCATGAGTGAAGCAGAATTTTTTTCAATTTGATTGAAAGTAGTTACAGGCAGCATAAGCATAGGATAAGCCCCATCATTAACCATCAACTACAGAGCATAGAGGTAAGCAGCTATTCATTAAGCTGTATATTTTCTTATTTGAATTAAGAATTGCAACCAAAGCATTGGTCATACTATGATTGACAAAAAATAAAGTTTACTTCATGAAGAAATAAAAGAACTCTGTGACATCAGCAATGAATTCCCCACAAGTTACAGTACCTACTCAAGCACTAGGCATGCCATCAAAGCCAGCGTTTCGTACAGGCTGGACAAACTTCCATTTTCTACTTAGGCTTCACAATTGTGTGAGACTTCAAGTTCTCCCTCTACTATATTCAGTTCAATTTTTATACAAATAATAAATAGATAAATAAAAACTCAATTACCTGCATACATGAGAAGTTTATTCACCATTGCAAGATCCTTGTACAAAACAGCATAATGAAGAGCAGAGTAGCCCTGTTGGTCAGGTGTGCAGAGGCTGTGAGTGATGTCATGCCCATGACTCAACAGGGAGGCTATGACTTTCTGCAACAAAAAATTATGGATGTTGCCATAATAGGTAGCTGGTTTTTCATTCAATCTAAGCATTGTTAATCCAATTTTACATAGCTCAATGTATTTTTATGTTTAACATGGTCTCAAAACATGTAGCAGTTCCTGGTAAACTTGCACAGTATGCAAGACTGTAGCCATCTTGTAACTTAATGACTAAACTATCACTGTATATAATCTGAAGAAGCCATATTCAGGAAGGAATGGAAGAGGGAAAACACAAACATTTTTCAAAACAAAATAAAAATATCATAATTTGATACAAAAAGCTGTTATTGGCAAATCTGTATTCTGAATTAGACACACTTGTTAGTCTGGATCATACACCATAGCCAGAGCACCAATGACCAAATATACCTCATAAAAGGTTGCCAAGCAAAGGTTTCACCTCCAAGCTTGGCGAAGCCCAGTAGCCCCAAAGTTTATGAGTTAACAAAGAACAGGTTATTCAAACCATCCCACAATGAATATTGATAATGCCTGGGCACTCTCTAGTAGAAAAAACAAGTTTAGTCACAATCAAGATAAACTGGATGTTGAGGCTTCCGAAATAAGCTTCAAATTAGAAACAAGGAAGCAAGGCTAACAGGGAGAGATTTTAGATATTAGTTATACAGGTATATATATTAGTAACTTTTGAAGAATAGGACTTAGCACTTATACATTTGTATGCCTAACTTTGGGACTTCTACTATAATAAATGGCTGCTACTTGCATGGAACAAATAATGCAAAATTGCAAAAAATTGTCTCTGCCAAGAAGAAGTTCAAAACCAATAATGTTAAAAGCAAGATAACTCAGCTTAGAAGAAATAAATATTTATCTACTTGTAATTCCTCCATGCCATATCCTTGCCAACAGCGTTGCAAAAACTCACGTTTTTTAAATTGCTCAAGCCACCTGATATTTATTGAAAAGCACATGATTTTTATTTTAAAAACACTGCAAATTGATAAAATGGTTATTTTTACTTTTTTCAGATATTACAGGGTCCGCCATATTTACGGCATTACATGTTTTTTGTTATTTCTCAATGAAACAAACAGTTGCATTTTTTTATTGGATGCGTTAGTAGCCAAGAATTACCTAAAGAATTCTCACACATATTTATTCAATATGACCACCCTTATTTTTAATGACGGCCTCCAATCTACGCACCGCTATCTAATGACGGCTGTGTCTCCAAAGCTTCACAGGAGACACGCAGCATTTCTTGAGGGATCAAGTCCCATTCTTGTGTCAATTTAGACTTCAAACTATCCAAAGAATCATGAGATGTTCTGCAGACCCTACTCACCAAAATAACCCACACAGAAAAGTCAAGAGGATTCAAATCAGGGCTTCTTGAGGGCCATTCATTCTTGCTAATGAACGCTGGGATGTGACCCTGAATCCAGTTTTGGGTCATGTTTGAGCCATGTGATGAGGCAGAGTCTTCTTGGAAACTCCATGGGGATCCGTTGAAGTGTATACAGGCCCAAGGTAACAACACAGCTTCCAAAATGCCCGAAATGTATCGCTGACTGTTCAATTTCACTCCTGAGGGAACAAAAACGAGTGGGGACCTCCCAGTGGCGGTTGCCGTAGCCCAAATCATCACGGACATGGGATTTTGACGTCGTGTTGCTGTTCTGGTTGCCGCAGATCCATCCCAACTCCAAACTGTCATTTTGACGGTTAACGCTTTGTTCAATGTCAAATTTTTCTTCTCACTGAACACCAAGTTGGGCAGTGTGCCATCCTCAACGAGATCAAAAATATGTTGGCATATTTCGAGCCTCATTCGTTCGTGACGGTCTGTTAGTTCATGCCTTGTTTGCATCTTGTAAGGGGAGGTTTTGAGGTCATCTTTGAGGACTCTGCGCATTGATGTCTGACTGACTCATGCTTCTGCAGCAAAGTTTGCAGCTGAGCGACGAGGGTTTCTCCTCAGCTTCTCCCTCGTGTTTTTGACCAATTGTTTTGTTTGGACACTTCGTTTCCTTCCTTGACCAGGTCAATTGCACGTTTCACCAGTTTCCTTGAATTTTTTACCACCTTCCACACAGTTTCACGACAAATTTAGAGCTTTTCTGCAATGACTGAATTACTCTCGCCCTTTTCATGAAGGGTTACAATTGCATTTCTATCTACTACCATGCTTCATGGCCCCCAATCTCTGCCGCGTCTACGTCGTGGGTGTACCCTGGCCTGCGCGTCAGCCGGATGCCCGGCTCACTCGCGGGTCAGGCCAAACGGCAGAGGCCCCCTGCCCGGATCGCTACCGGACGGAGGCTCCTTCTTAATTTTTTAGACCAAGGGTTGGGCAACCTCGGCCTCTCCTTCCCCCTACCCACATCTTTGTCCGCCTATCTTTTCTGAGGCACCCTATGCCCTTCTCTTCTCTCACTTTTGCTTCCTACTCGTCCTTCTCCTCCTGACCCAGGGTATCCATCCTATCCCTGGCCCATACCCCTGCTCAGTCTGCTCCCGCCCAGTTACGCGGCGTGTATATTAGTTCATGTGCTCCAGGTGCAATGCCTGGACCCACATACGGTGCTCCAACCTTCACTCCTATCACCTCTACTCCGCAGACTGGATCTGCCCTACGTGCAGACGGTCTGACCCCATCCCAGCAACACCTTTGCGTCCTCCAGTTTAACTGCAACGGGATCCAATCCAGTGCAGTCGAACTGGCTACTTACCTCACCAAAAACGACGTGGCGGTTGCTTGTCTCCAAGAGACCAAGCTATCCACTGCATCCCGCCCCCCTCCTTGCCCGGATACGCGCTGGAGCGCAGGGACCGCCCCGGAGGTCACGGCGGCGGTGTTCTCATCTTGATCCGCCATGATGTCCGCTACACCGGACGTGACATCTCCCCCCTCCTACGCGGCGACACCGCCATGGAGCCTACGGCAATCTCAACTCCTCTTAATGGCTCACCTCTCTGTATCATCAACGTAAACATCCCACCGGCCTCCTCCTGCCCCCCGGGATATTTATGGAAGATAATGTCTTCCGCAGACATTATCTCCATCCCGCGAGACTGCCTGATGGTGGGCGATTTTAATGCCCACCATCCCTCCTGGTTCTCCCACACGGAAGACCAGAGAGCCGCAGCGCGAGGAACCGCAGTCGACAACCTCGTCGCTGGTTCTTCCCTCACCTACCTCAATGAGGACTTCTATACCCGCCCCCCCTCCCATGGCCCGCCCTCCTCTCCGGACCTCGCCATCATCAGCGGTCACCTACTCCACAGCACCTCCTGGACTCCTCAAGTTGCCCTCAACTCGGACCACCTGCCCATCCTGATCTATCTCCCTTCCTCTGCTGATTCCCCGACGCCCCAGGCCGCCCGCTCCTATGTCAACTTTAAAAAAGCTGACTGGCCCGCCTACACGGCAGACATCGAAACGGCGCTCAAGACGGTCCCTCCCCCATCTCGTGTGGCGGAGAGTCGACCTGAAGAGAAGTCCTGGCGACAGCTGCCAGACATCATATCCCTGCTGGATTCAGGAAGGACTTCTCCCCATCAGTCAACCCTAACACCCAGTTGCTCATAGAACAGCAACGGGATGACATTAGGGTGAGCAACCCAACCGACCCCCGGCTCCCAGAACTTAACCTGGAAATCGGCACCTCCATACAGGCCCACGCCAGGTACACTTGACAAACACGCCTTGCCTCTTGCAGTAGGCGTACCAACCAACCAAACATTCGAATCTATTCCGCTCCCTAGCCGGAAAGCGGAACCGCCCAATCAGCCAATCCAATTTGGTCGGTTCTCCCTCTCCTCCCAACATAAGATCTACTCCGCCTTCTGCAAGCTTTTCACTTCGGTCGCTCCTCACTCTCAGAGCCTCTCCACCCGCCGCCTCATACGTCGAATCCGAGTCCAACATCCCCTCGACAGGGACTTCTCCCCTTTCATCCTCGACATGGTGAAGCTTGCCATCGCAGCCGTCAATAACTCTTCCGCTCGGGGTCCTGACGGCCTGACGGTTCTTCATCTCAAGCCCCTCGGCCCGCGTGGCCTCCAGTATCTCCAGTATCCCCTTCAACATCTCCGTCTCCACAGCCTCTATCCCATCCATTTGGAAAAATTCTATAATTATTCCAATTCTCAAACCGGGCAAACCCGGAAACCAGGGCTCCTCATACCGCCCTATCTCCCTCCTCTGCCCGGCAGCCAAGATCCTTGAGCGCCTGGTGCTCCCATACATCTTGGGATCTCTCACCACCGTCCCCTCGCAACATGGTTTCAAGCAGACATTCCACCGTCACCGCCCTCCTCCCGCTCGCGCACCAGATCGCAACGGGTTTTAACTCCCGGCGCCCCCGAGCCCGTACAATCGCCACTGCAGTCGACCTCTCGAAGGCCTTCGACAGCGTCGACTACCCTCTCCTTCTGAGCATGATCGAGGCCTCGAACCAACATCATAACCTGGTCCGCTGGCTATGCTGCTACCTTAGAGGTAGGCTGGCATCCCGCCTCTACCTCAACACAGTCGCCCTTTAGAGCTGTTCACTTCGGAGTGCCCCAGGGCTCGGTCATCTCGCCGGCCCTCTTTAACCACTTCATCTCAGATATCCCAGTTCCGACCCCCAACATTGCCTCATATGCGGACGATCTTACCATCTCGTGTCGTCCCCGAAGCTTGACGCTGCTGAAGCTGAGCTCGCTGTGCTCCTTCGGAACGTCTAGGATTGGTCGGTGGCCAAGAAACTGGGCGTGGCCCCTGGCAAATCCCAGACACCCACCAATCTCTTCACCCCAGACACCCACCAATCTCGATCCCACCCTGCTGCCACTATCTGCAACGGCGTCATCCCCCTGGACAAAACCCCTGAAATCCTGGGCGTCACCTGGGATACGCACTTCACATTCTCCTTCATGCAAGAGCCATCGCCACGAAAACGACGGGTTCTCTTCGCATCCTAAAAGCCCTAGCTGGTACCAACTGGGGCTTCTCCAAGGAGGACATTACTGCC